AAGAAGTGTACTCCAACACCTAGGAAAAGGAGAGAAAAAAAGAACAGGAGTACCATTTCAAACTGTTGCTTAACATTTCTAAGAGTTCTGTTCTTAGTGCCCCTTTTATTCTTCTGGAAATTAAACTTTAAAGGACTGTGAAATGGTACTGCCAAGATCACTCAGAGTACCCAGCTCTGGGCTCAGAAGCCTCCCTCAGGGTCCGCAAGAGAAATGCACTGACCATCATGTTTAGGGCAGGCACTGGGCCAGGCTTCCGAGCTACAGAACCCCACGTCTGTTCCTGGAGAGCTATAGCCTTGCTGAGGGAATTACCAACGCCACCGGAGGGTTTTCATCCTCAGTGTAGCGTGTCCCCAGCAACTGTTTCCCTCCAGCCTGTCCCAGTGTTAACTCTTACACAACTATACTACAGAGTGAGGAGATTGACATTCCAATTCTGCCACCACAGACCCATCTGAGTGTGTGCACAGCTGCAAGCCCATAGCCCCATGGGATTTTATGATGTGTGCAGCCTTATGAGACCACCACAGTCCAGAAACCCAAATGCACCATTGTCATGAGACTCCCCCGTCCCTCCTTCATTGCCACATCTCTCCTCTCGTCACTTATTTTATTTTTTTGTAGAGACAGAGTCTCACTTTATTGCCCTTGGTAGAGTGCCGTGGTGTCACACAGCTCACAGCAACCTCCAACTCATGGGGCTTAAGTGATTCTCTTGCCTCAGCCTTCTGAGTAGCTGGGACTACAGGCACCCACCACAACGCCCAGTTTGGTTGCAGTTCGGCCGGGGCCAGGTTTGAGCCTTCCACCCTTGGTATATGGGGCCGGCGCCCTACTCACTGAGCCACTGGCACCGCCCATCTCCTCTCCTCACCTTTAACTTTGGTGCCCACTGATCTGTTCTCCAGCTGAGGTTACCTCATGGACGTTCTATTTGAGATTGGCTTTAAACTCAGCATATTTCCTTGAGGTTGACCCAAGTCTCTGAGTGTACTGGTAGCTTATTTCTTCTTGTCGCTGAGTAGTGTACCGTGGTGCAGAGGCACTGTAGGTCCTTTAACTGTTAACCTGTTGAGGGACATTTGGGTAGTTTCCAATTTTGGACTGTTGGGAATAAAGCTGCTATGAACAGTTATGTATATATGAGCTCCTGCGTGAAAATAAGTTTCCCTAATAGGGTGATTGCTGGGTTATATGGTAAGTCCACTCTATTAATAGTTTTGGAAAGTATTTACATCTCTACCGGCAATATTTGTGATTCAGCTTCTCTGCCTTGCTGTTATCACATCCTCCTTTTTGGCTATTCCGATGGGCATGGAGTCATACCTGCTGTGGTTCTAATTTGCGTTTCTCTGCCCTGCCGTTTCACTGTTTTCCATCTTGGCTATTCCGATGGGCATGGAGTCATACCTGCTATAGTTCTAATTTGCATCTCCTTGATGACCGATGATACTGAGCATCTTTTCACGCATTTATTCACCAGCTGTACATCCCCTGTGTCTTCTGATCATTTTCTAATAGGATTGTGTTTTTGGTTTCAGTTTTTTTATGTTGGCTTTGAGAGTTTTTTATGTATTTTAGACATATACAGCTACTATTTTTAATCAGCTGCTGTAACATTTAATTGGAAGAGGAAATGATGTCACAAAGAGTTTCTATCTCACCAAACCACCCTGATACTCCTCCCTCTTTGGAAAAGCCGTCTCTATCAATTCCAATCCAGCTGCCTTCAGAGAGGAACTTTGCAGGTCCCAGTTGCAATCTTGGTCAAACATTTCATTTGCCATTAATCCCCACAGTATTCTTCAAGAATTGGAATGCCAGCTTCTCACCATTTTCTCTAGGTTTTGTCTTGAGACAGCCTCACTCTACCCAGCCAGGCTAGAGTGCCCTAGCGTTAGCCTCCCTCACAGTAACCTCAAACCCCCGGGCTCAAGCAATCCTCTTGCCTCAGCCTCCCCAGTAGCTGGGTCTATAGGCACCAACCACAACACCCAGCTAGTTTTTTCTATTTTTAATAGAGATGAGGTCTCGCTCTTGCTCAGGTTGGTCTTAAACTCTTGAGATCAAGCAATCTGTACACCTCAGCCTCCCAGAGTGCTAGGATTCCAGGTATGAGCCATCGTCCCCACTCTCTAGGTTTGGTTTTGGGCAGGGTCTCGCTTCATGGTCTGGGCTGGAGTGCAATGGCTCCACCTGAGCTCAAGGGAGATTCTGCTTCAGCTTCCTGTGTATCTTGGGACTACAGGAACATCCCATTACATCTAGTTAATTTTCAAAAATTTTTTTTTGAGACAGTCTCACTTTGTCGCCCTTGGTAAAGTGCCGTGGCATCCCAGCTCACAGCAAGCTCAAAGTCTTGGGCTCAAGTAATTCTTTTGTCTATCTCCCAAGTAGCTGGGCCTACAGGTGCCTTCCACAACACCCAGCTTTTTTTTTTTTTTTTTTTTTTTTTGGCCAGGGCTGGGGTTTGAACCTGCCACCTCTTGCATATGGGGCTGGCGCCTTACTCCTTTGAGCCACAGGCGCTGCCCACGCCCAGCTATTTTTAAGAGACAGGGTCTCACTCTGGCTCAGGCTGGTCTTGAACCTGTGAGCTCAGGCAATCCACTTGCCTGGACCTTCCAGAGTGCTAGGATTACAGGCGTGAGCCACTGTGCCTGGCCCTAATTTTCAATTTTTTGTGGAGATGGAATCTCGCTCTCACTCAGACTGGACTTGAACTCTTAGCCTCGAGCAAACCTCCTTTCATGGCTGCAGAAGTGCTAGGATTACAGGTCTGAGCCACCAAGCCTGGCCCCTTATCAGGTTTTGGTAGCAGGATTATGACAGTTACTATGCTTAGTAATAGTAGACGGTTATTTTTCTTGACTGTTTGATAGAACTTGACTCTAAGAATTTAGTTTTAGCTCTTACATATAAGTCTTGATCCATTTGGGATTTATTGTTTATACAGTTTGAGATAAGGGTCCAGAGTGTCATTCTTTTGACTGTACCTAGTTATCCCAACACCACTGTTGTGGATGAGACTCTTTTCTGCATTAAATTATTCTGGCAACTTAGTCAAACATCAATTGACTATAAAAGTGAGGATTTATTTCTAGACTTTCCATTCTACTCCATCAATCTGTATTTCTGTCCTCACTGGTGCTGGATTGGGGGTTGGGGTCAGAACACAGTATCTGTCACCCCCTTCAGTTTAAAGACCCGACTCTGCTGAAGGGCACCTCTGATCCCAGGCATCTCACCCATCTCTAGGTGCGGAGAGATGGTGATGATGCAGACTTTAAACGGTACAGGAAAAGCCCTATCTGTAAAGCATACATGGTAAAATGTCAACAATAAATCAAGCTACATGGAGGGAACATGGGTGTTTATACTTTCAAATTTTCTATAGGTTTAAAAAATTTCAGAGTAAAAACCTGGAGGAAAATTATACATTCCTGTAATAAAACAGTTGGGAAACAAAAAGGCCCTTCAGACAGTCAACTGATTCAGATGCTCTTTCCATGGATGGGTCTCATCCTTCTGTCCAAAGGGTTACCCGATGTCCGTCCCGTTAGTGACAGTGACTTGCCATGGGCGTGATGCAGGCTGAGGCTGCAGGTCACCAGTCCGGAGGGGCTGGCTGCACCCAGCACTCAGTCCCTGAAATCACTCATTCACTCAGCTTTGTTTCATCTCTGAAATAATTAGGTGGTCCCCGTCAATGAGCGCAAAGCTATAAAAACAACCTCCTTTGAGGTTTTACTTTTGGAGAATAAAATTAGGTATGTTGACTCTCCACAGTACACAATAAGCTCCGGAAGGCAGTATCATTGAGATGATGGTGATTAATGTGTGATTTCCATTTCTGTTTTCCAACTGTTAAGTCTCAGTTCTCTGGGGGAAAAAAAAAACTGAAAACAAAAGAGGTTCCTCTTACATAGTAGAGAAAGGATAGTATTTCTTGGCTTCAAAGTTCCAATTTGTAACGTAAATCAAGTCAATACAAAAATGTTCCTTCAACTAAGAAAAGTAGAGGATTAAAAGAATCCTCCTGTAAATCCTTGATATACTGGGTTCCCATGACTCTGAAATGTAACAGCTATTATGCCCTTAATATTTTACCCTAGATATATAACAAGCAAGCTGAGGAAGTAAAACAAAACACATGTGTACAAACATGTTTTCCAAATAAACCTTTCCTTCAAGATGTTGAAATTAAAATTAGTTCACATAATGTGCAGAATCAAACCTGACAAAGAAAGATGAAATAAATTAACAGCACAATAATAGCTAACATTTACATAAAGTGCCATATATTAGGAATTAAATGTTTCTATCTCATTTACTTCTCACAACCCAATGAAGCAGATACTATTTTACAAAGCCTGGAGTTTCCCACAGTGACCTAGCTGGTCAGTGGTGAAGGGGGTCTTCTAACAGGCCGTTTGGCTTTGGAATTCCTGCTTTCAACCACTGTGCCATAACATCTCTCAATACCAGCTACAAATTAAAAAATCAGAAATGTCTCACTAACCATCATTATGGAATACAAAATAATCATTTGGCCCCTTTGTATCGAAATTTTCCACATATTTTGTTTCTTTCCATCTATCAACTAGCTTTAATTCTGAGCCACCAGTTTTGTTTTACTATTTTTCTCCCTTCAGTGTTTGACACTTATGTGACCTTGTTTGTTCAAAATAAAAGCGAGTTGAACACTTTCCCTAATTCCAACCACTCTCTTATCACGTCCTCAGCGGCTTGTGCAGAAGGGACTGTGGAGGCTGATAACCAGGGTCCCAGGGGCGCAGGGAGCCCAAACCTGTCTTCAGTTTATTGTGTGTGTGATGCGGAGCAGGACAGTGGTGGTAGGAGTAAATATATTTTTTATATGGTAGTAAATATATTTTTTAGAAAGATTTCCATTTCATGGAAATAAAAGGTTAAGACCATATCAAGCCAAATACAGAAATGAGAAAGTTTTATTTATCTAAAACAATTTAGGCTATATAAACAAATAACTGAAGTTCCATAGGAAGAAATTTCCAAAACACACAAAAGAAAAAGTACCATCTACAAGATTATTTACATGTTTAGGGTCCACGTGAAAACACCTGGTCCCCAGGCCTGGTATTGACATAGAATACAGTCTGTGGTAACACACTTGGGAGGAAGACTATTGTACCTTCTAGCACATGACAAAAACCAGACAAGGAGCCGCTGAAATGGTGGTGGCTCAAGGCCATAATCACAACCACACCACCTCTGAAAGGCCCTCATTAGGGGGCAGAGTAATCTGCAAAGATGCAGCTTTTACACATGTTGTTACCTACACCAATGTAATTACTACAGTTTCTATAAAGACAAACAGGTGTCTTAACACTCTTTAAAAATATATGTAATAATAAGTTTCCTAAAGATTGAAAAAGTCCAGACTCATTAAGGGTGAATAAAAAAGCTATTGCTTTCCTAGGGTCACTTTCTCCCTTTATTCCTGCTTAAATGCAAAAGCTGATAATTTCTGATTTGTACAGAGCTCCAAAGGTTTTTGCTTCTTAGGCAAGTTCAGGTTTTCCTTTGCTGCTTCTTCCTGGATTTTGGTTTCATCACTTGCATCAGCCACACGTTTCCGCTTCTTTGCTTCAGCTTCATCAGCTGCAGCTTCTCCTTTGGCCTTGTTAGTCCAGGCCTTGAAAAATATCAGGGAGGAAGAGAAAAGACTTTAAGGCAATAACAAATAGGAAGAAAATGACTTGTTTTTTCTTTTTATTAAAAAAAATTTTTTAATCTCTTCATCAAGAAGCAAAGAGAGGCCAGGCTCCGTGGCTCACGCCTGTAATCCTGGCACTCTGGGAGGCTAAGGCAGGTAGATGGCTTAAGCTCAGAAGTTCAAGACCAGCCTGAGCAGGAGTGAGACCCCATCTCTAAAAGTAGCTGGGCATTGTGGCAGGCGCCTGTAGTCCCAGCTACTTGGGAGGCTGAGGCAAGAGTCAAAGAGTGTGAAGTTGCCATGAGCTAATACACCACCCCACTCTACCCGGGGCAACAAAGTGAGACTGTGTCTCAGAAAAAAAAAAAGAGAAGGAAAGAAAATGATTACTTTTCCAGGTAATATGTGGATATATAAAGCAGAATATTTAGCACTTGAGTTGTTAAGCTAATCATTAAGTGTTCTCATTAACAAATCTTTTTTACTTAATTGCAGAGCACATTAAAAAAAATCACATTCCGGGTGGCACCTATGGCTCAAAGGAGTAGGGCACCGGCCCCATATGCCAGACGTGGTGGGTTCAAACCCAGCCCCAGCCAAAAACTGCAAAAAAAAAAAAAAAAAAATCACATTCTAGGCTTGACGCTTGTTGCTCATGGCTAGGACACCAGCCACATACAGCAGAGCTGGCGGGTTAGAATCCAGCCCGGGCCTGCCAAACAACAATGATAATACAACCAAAAGAAAAAATAGCTGGTGTTTTGGCAGGCGCCTGTAGTCCCAGCTACTTGGGAGGCTAAGGCAAGAGATGTCATTGGTCTGCCATTACATATTCCTTCCCCTTCCTTCCTTCATGTAGCAGAAACTCACTGAACCTCAAGCCCAGGAGTTGGAAGTTGTTGTGAGCTGTGATGCCACGGCACTCTATCCAGGGTGACAGCTTGAGACTCTGTCTCAAAAAAAAAAAAAAAAAAATCACATTCTACGTCTATAATTTTTCAGACTAAACTCTTCTTGTATTTAATCATATTAAATGTAAAATACTATAACTGAAGATACTTACTGAAAATGAAATGAGGTTAACTACCTACAGGTTCACATGCAGTTGTGAAGTCTTCTCCCAGTTTTCCCCATCTTGCAAGGATCACAACTCGGGTATTGACACAGTGATACAATCTCCTTTCCTTCTACTCATCTGAGTGTACATCTTATATTGTACGTGTGTATATTTACCACCACAGTGAATCCAGAATAGTTCCATCACCATAAGGACCCCTCTTGTTACCACCTGCTCCCCCAAATCCCCACCTAGGCCCAAACCCTGCGAACCTCTATTACCCTCCATCTCTACCATGCTGTCATTTTATATAAATGAATTACACAGTATACATTCTTTGGGGATTGGTTTTTATTAACTCAGCAAAAGCCAAACATGGCCCATTCATTGCATCTGTCTCTTAAATCTTTTTTGTTTTTTTAGACAAGGTCTCACTCTGTTGTCCTAGCCAGAGTGCAGTGGCATCATCACAGCTCACTGCAGCCTCCAGCTCCTGGGCTGAGCCTTCTGAGCAGCTGAACTATACAGGCCTGCACTACCGTCCTCGGCTAATTTTTTAGAACAAACTTTATAGAGGTGGGGTCTTGCTATTGCTCAGGTTGTTAATTCTCTTAAAAGTTCTCCTCTTTTGGGTGGTGCCTGTGGCTCAGTGAGTAGGGCGCTGGCCCCATATACTGAGGGTGGTGGGTTCAAATCCGACCCCGGCCAAACTGCAACAAAAAAATAGCGGGGCGTTGTGGTGGGTGCCTGTAGTCCCAGCTACTCGGGAGGCTGAGGCAAGAGAATCAATAGCCTAAGCCCAGGAGTTGGAGGTTGCTGTGAGCTGTGTGACACCACAGCACTCTACTGAAGGCAATAGAGTGAGACTCTGTATCTAAAAAAAAAAAAAAAAAAATTCTCCTCTTCAACCATTTATTTATTAAAAGGGGCCCTTCAAGCAGTAGAATTTCTCATATTAACAGAATGGATTTGAGTAAATGTTTAGTATTTACTTAAAAATACAGATTTTAGATCTTTGAAAATACAATCATAACTTTTGCCAGGTCTCTTCCTCTTTTAAAGTATAAGGTCTTACTCATTCAGATGATTTCTTTATAGTTTATTTATAGTTTGTATCCCTGTATAAATACTTACAAATAAAAAACTCAACATTACTAACGAGGTGGTACTAAAGCACTTATTTAGTTCTAAAACGAGACTAGGGTTCGGCGCCTGTGGCTCAAGTGGCTAAGGTGCCAGCCACATACACCTAAGGTGGTTGGGTTTGAATCCAGCCTGGGCCCGCCAAACAACAATGACGGCTACAACCGAAAAATAGCCTGTGGTCCCAGCTACTTGGGAGACTGAGGCAGGAGACTTGCTTGAGCCCAGGAGTTGGAGGTTGCTATGAGCTGTGATGCCACGGCACTCTACCCAGGGGGATAGCTTGAGGCTCTGTCTCAAAAAAAATAAAATAAAATAAATAAAAAATAAAACAAGACTAGAGGTGGTCAAACCAATTTCTAGCTTCCTCAACATGAGACACTGTTACACAAAGCCCAGTTGATCAGAGCACGTCCCTCTGTTACTAGGTGCCTGTTCTCCACACCGCCATCCCCAGGGAACTGAAGTCTGAGGATTTCATTGGTCTGCCATACATATTCCTTCCCCTCCCTTCCTTCACGTAGCAGAAACTCACAGGAGGAGCAAGCCACCTGCCCTAATTTCCATGTGAAAACATAAAACATATCAGCCTTTTCTCCCCAAAGGATATTAGTATTCAGTGTGTAAGTGGACAGCATTAAAAAAATCCTACTTGAAAGAACCTTAAAGTAATAGTCTAAAAAATACAAATTAACTTCATTTTCACTTGTTAATCTTTTTTGCTTTTCTTTAATTTTTATTTTTTACTTATTTATTGTTTGAGACAGAGTCTCGCTTTCTCACCCCTGGTAGAGTGTGTGCATCACAGCTCACAGCAACATCAAACTCCTGGGCTTAAGCGATCCTCCTGCCTCAGCCTACCCAGTAGCTGGGACTACAGGTGCCCAGCTATTTTAGAGATGGGGCCTTGCTCTGGCTCAGGCTGGTCTCAAACTTGTGAGCTCCAGCACTCTACCCACCTCGGCCTCCCAAATGCTGGGATTACAAGTGTGAGCCACCAACACCCCACCCCCTTTCTTGATACAGAGTCTCGCTCTGGCACACGGGCTAGAAAGCTGTGGCATCACAGCTCACAGCAACCTCAAACTCTCGGGCTCAAGCAACCCTCTTCCCTCAGCCTCTTGAGTAGCTGGGACTACAGGCACCTGCCACAATACCGCACTAGTTTTTCAATTTGCTTTTGATTTATAAATAATGAATCCTTTCTTGAGGTTCCCCCCCAACTTAAAACATATAGAAACTTATGCAAATCTAAACAGTAAATGCCAAAAGTTAACCACCAACATTAAATAATAATTATCACATATCTACATGCTCAAAGCTGACACTTGGTATTTAATTTCTTCTCCACATAAGAATTTAGGGAATGTGTTAAATTTCCAAAACAGATACAGGCATTTTTATGAGAATTTTTAAAATCTGAAATCCATTTAGATTTCAATCCCACCACAATTATCCTTACCTTCCTTTCTTCCGCTGATAATCCTCGAAATCGAGTCATTCCTTCTTTTATGATGTCTGCTTCATCTGAAAAGTCAGGATTCTCAGACAAAATATTACTTCTATTTTCCTCTAGCCACATTTGGAATCCAGTCTTTGGCCTAAAATGCAATTATGTGAAAAAACTTCACTTCACATGCAGTTTAAAGGGCCTTATGACTTTTCAAGTTAGCGATGAGACGTCAGTGTTTGCATATCTACATAAAGTAAGGAGAAGATTACACTTGCTAAATCCGTATCACCTAAACCCCTGCAGACTGTAGGCTTGATACCCTGGAGAATCCTTCCAGGTCAGTTTAACGGGATGCCCCCGAGTGTACTTCCCAAGTGCAGCAACTGTGAACTCTGCACTTTCAACTCTATTACACACACTGACAGCCTCTCTGGCCTAGTAAAATTCTTCAGGTAGCTTTGGTAGGCTCGTTCTCCTTTTTCCAAACCAGTTATGTGAAATCTTTTCAGATTCTGTCGACCCCCTTTCCCTCCAGCTCACCCTCACCCTAACAGCTGAGCTGTATTATGTATTATCATTACACAAAGCAAGGGCACTGTACACTCGAAAACTGTATTGGATTCCCCTCATCACATAAATTGTCTTTAGCTTACAAGTGAAGGTATAATGCAAATGTGTGTTTAACATTTACTTAGTACCCATTATCTTCAGGCACTGTTCTAAATGCTTTATATGTACTATCTCATTTAAATGGCAATAACAGATGAGGGAGATACAAGTAGTATAGTATCTCTGTTCCACAGATGGAGAAATCAAGGCTCACAGAGATGAAATAACTTAACTGAGATGACTCTGAGAGGAGGAGTCATTCTCTCCAGCCACATCTGGAATCCAGTCTTTGGCCTAAAATGCAATTATGTGGAAAAACTTGAACCTGGGCTTCTCGCAGCCAAGTAGCTTGACTCCAGAGTCCCCTGTTTAACTCACCAGCTATCCTCCCTCCCACTCTGCTGGGGCTGAATGGGTCCTAAACAACAGGCTTAATGCACAGCAAAAATACCAGGGAAAATATTTATGATCGAATTTTCAGAAGTGGGCCAGGTACAGTGGCTCAGGCCTATAATGCTAGGACTCTGGAAGGCTGAACTGGGAGGATTCCTTGAGTTGAGGAGTTCAAAAACAGCCTGAGCAAGTGCTATACCCCGTCTCTACCAAAAATACAAAAATAAGCTAGGTATTGTAGTGGGCAACTGAGTACCAGCTACTCAGGACGCTGAAGCAGGAGGATTACTTGAGTCCAAGAGTTTGAAGTTGCTGTGAGCTAGGCTGATAACAGCACCACTCAGGGCGACAGAGCAAGACTATCTCCCTTTCCCCCCTGCACAGAGATAGTAATAGTATTCAGAACAAAATAGAAATATAAAAACCACAGCTACTCCTTTAAATTAAAATGGATAATAGAAACTTATTAGAAAAATAAGATAGTCAATGCTAAAAATGAAACTGTGACTTCAGGATCAGCTTGGTGGCTCACACCTATAATCCTAGCACTTTAGAAGGCTGAGGTGGGTGGATTACTTGAGCTCTGGAGTTCGAGACTAGCCTGAGCAAGAGCAAAACCCCATCTCTACTAAAAAGAGAAAAATTAGCCAGGTAGCAGGCACCTACAGTCCCAGCTACTTGGGAGGCTGAGGCAAGAGGATCATCAGAGCCCATGAGTTTGAGATTCTATGAGATGTGATGCCACGGCACTCTACCCAGGGTGACAGAGTAAGACTGTCCCAGGAAAAAAAAAAATTATGATTTTAAAAATTTCACTGATACATTTAAAATCTAGCATAGCAGAGACAGAGATATCTGGTAAGTGTACTGGTGGACAAATAGGACATGGACATACAGAAACTCTTGTATTGCTGGGGGCAGGTGTAAGACGACACCACCTCAGGACAGAACGAGTGGGCGGGCTCCCTGGAAGCCCACATGCAGGTTACCACACTCCACACAGGGGCCATCGCAATGTCGCACTGCGTCTATGAGAAGCAACATCCATGTAAAACTATTCACTGTAGTACCAGCAGAAGACAAGCAACCACTTTTGTACACAAAAGTAGACACTAAACGAACTATGATGTCTCTATTCAAAGAATATATTCTCTGGCTTGTAGTGCTTTAAAAAAACATTCAAAGGATATGAAAAAGTTAAAGCTCTTTATGTAGTAATGTAAAAAGATCTGCAAAATCTATTGTTAAGTAAAAAAAAAAGATACAGAATAATGAGTAAAACTGTGTTAAACAAAAAAAATCCACATAGGTATGTGTATGTTTATATATGCATATAATCATTTTAGAAGGCTACAGAAGAAATCTGTTGCAGTGACTATTTATGGAGAAGGAAACTGGCTGGACAGGAAGGATTTACTTTCTTTCTTTTTTTTTTTTTTGGAGACAGAGTCTCACTTTGTCGCCCTTAGTACAGTGCCCTGGTGTCACAGCTCACAGCAACCTCAAACTCTTGGGCTCAAGTGATCCTCTTGCCTTAGCCTCCCAAGTAGCTGGGACTACAGGTACCTGCTGTAACACTCAGCTATTTTTAGAAATGAGATCTCACTCTGGCTCAGGCTGGTCTCAAATCTGTGAGCTCAGGCAATCTACCCACCTTGGCCTCCCCGAGTGCTAGGATTACAGGCATGAGCCACAGTGTCCAACCCATCATACTTTTTTTTTTTTAATCTTTTCCTGTTTTTCCCCAGGTAACTATATTATTTAAAAACAAAAATGAAATAAACAAACAATAAATCAATTACAAATACATCTACAATTTAGAACATATACACTCTTACATTAAAGTATATATGTACACACACACACACACACACACACACACGTCCAGACTGGGTTCAAACTTCGGGGCTCAAGCAATTCTCCCATGTCAGCCTCCTAAGTAGCTGGGACTACAAGTGTGGGCTACAGTGTATTGTAATACATAATGTAAATAGGTATTAATCAACATTTGTGGCTTCCTTAAAGTCACAAGTGTTCAGAATACCAATCAATGTATTATTCATAGTAGGGAACATCGCAGTTGCATGATTCTGTTATCACTGCTAGTATACACTACATACTAAGCTTCTCTATATACCAACCTTTGGTTTTCAACGTTTTCATGACTTATAGCAGGTGCTTCAGATGATAGATTTTTAGAATTTTCTTCTTTTTGTTCTTCAGTCTTATTGGCTTGAGAAGTTCTTTTCTGAAAATAGGATGCTGCAGATACCTGTACAAGTAAATATTATAAGCACTGCAACCAAATCTCATATGAGTTTTATATGTTACAAGGAAGTTCTGGAAAGTGTGAAGAAACATTTACAATCATTTAGAATTCCTATGCCTACATATGAAGTCTGGGTTTTTAGCTGAAAATAAACACACACATCGAAACAAACCAAAAAAATTATACTTTAGATTTCATACTTTCTAAATAAATGCAATTGAATGAAATGGAAAAGATCTAATGGAAATACATCTATTTTTGGCTCGGCACCTATGGCTCAAGTGGCTAAGGCGCCAGCCACATACACCTAAGGTGGCGGGTTTGAATCCAGCTCGGTCCGCCAAACAACAGTGACGGCTGCAACCAAAAAAAAATAGCCGGGCACTGTGGCAGGCACCTGTGGTCCCAGCTACTTGGGAGGCTGAGGCAGGAGACTCACTTGAGCCCAGGAGTTGGAGGTTGCTGTGAGTTAGTGATGCCACAGCACTCTACCCAGGGGGATAGCTTGAGGCTCTGTCTCAAAAAAAAAAAAAAAAAAAGAAATACATCTATTTTACTGATGACAAATCTGGATGAAACACTAGTGTGGACAAAATCAAAATATAAACGAGAGATTAAGGCTATGTACTATACCAGCCATTATTAAACAAGACTTCATCAGAATCATCTGGTGGGGGGTGTTAATAAAAATACAGATAAATGCCAGAGTCCCTGAGCCTCGGTACATATATAATTTTTGAAAAGTAATTCTGAACCAAAACCAGAACTGAACCCACTTCCCTAGTTAATCAATTACAAACTAGAAATCCCTTCCACTTAGAACAGGGACCAACACTGAGCAGACCTGGCTGCTGAGAGCAGGGGGCCCAACGGTACCTGCTTAGACTTTGGCTTTGGAATCAGAGGCTTTATGACTGGAGACTTCTCACTACTTGTCGCTCGATGAACTGCTGTGGACTTCTTAGATGATTTGGTCATATTGTCTAAGATATTACTTGAATGTGGTGAATTCACTGACCTACCTGGCTCTTTGGAATTGGCTGATACCTAAAGAGCAAACCAGTGTTAGCACTTTAAGTTTGAAAGGGGAAATAAAACTCAAGAGATTTGTTTTCCCTTTAAATTTCTGTTAAGTTTGTACTGAAGTCTCATATTACAACTCAGTACATTTGGTACAATCCAAATCAAGATCGATGCATATATTCCCAAATACCACCTATCCAAGAAAAGACATGCAGTATCTTTTAAAATCATGGGTAACTCTTAGCCCAAGTGTGACTCGGTGCTGCCTTCTTTTTTGTTTTTACAGTGACCAGTCTTTCATGCCTCCATGTTTGTGGAGGGTCATCTGGTCATTTGAAAATATTCCTTTGTATGGAAATGTATTTAAATAATAAGAAATATCACCAAAAAGAGTTTACCTTAAAGGGGTTTACTCGTCCTTGGCTGCTAGAGATAACTGCACCTTTTACAAGAAAGAACTTTGCTTAACAGTGGTAAAAAAATAGATGACTTCTGACTTTCTAATAGTAGGCAAAATATTTTAATCTATATTATATGAAAACAAACAATGTACTTTTAGAACTATTAACAACTCCAGATGACCAAAAATCGCATTACAACAAAGATATTTGTATCAGAATGTTTATTGCAGCCCAATTCATAATTGCCAGGTCATGGAAGAAGCCCA